TTTGAATTTACCAAGGCTAGATTTATGGCCCAGGATGTGATTTATCCTGGAGAATGTTCCGTGTGCACTTGAGAAAAAGGTGAAATTCTTTTCTTTTTGGATGAAATGTCCTATAGATATTAATTAGGTCTAACTGGTCCATTGTATCATTTAAAGTTTGTGTTTCCTTGCTAATTTTCTGTTTGGTTGATCCATCTATAGGTGTGAGTGGGGTATTAAAATCTCCCACTATTATTGTGTTACTGTTAATTTCCCTTCATATTTTTTAGCATTTGCCTTATGTATTGAGGTGCTCCTATCTTGGGTGGATATATCTTTATAATCATTGTATCTTCTTCTTGGATTGACCCTTTGATCATTACATAGTGTCCTCCTTTGTCTCTTTTCACAGTCTTTATTTCGAAGTCTATTTTCTCTGATATGAGTATTGCGACTCCTGCTTTCTTTTGGTCTCCACTTGCATGAAATATCTTTTTCCAGCTCTTCACTTTCAGTCTGTACATGTCCCTTGGTTTGAGGTGGGTCTCTTGCTGACAGCATATATAGAGGTCTTGTTTTTGTGTCCATTCAGCCAGTCCTTGTCTTCTGGTTGGGGCATTCAACCCATTTACATTTAAGGTAATTATTGATAAGCATGATCCCATTGCCATTTACTTTGTTGTTTTGCATTCTATTTTATAAACCTTTTCTGTGTTTCCTGTCTAGAGAAGATCCTTTAGCATTTGTTGAAGATCTGGTTTGGTGGTGCTGAGTTCGCCCAATTTTTGTTTGTAAAGCTTTTGATTTCTCCTTCTTATCTGAATGAGGTCCTTGCTTGGCATAGTAATCTTGGTTGTAGGTTTTTCTCTTCCATCATTTTAAGTTGAATGTTGACTTTTAAGCCAGCCTTTTCACTCTCCTCTTTCACTTTCATCAAGAGGCTCTTTAGTTACTCTTCACTTTCTGCCATAAGGGTGGCATCATTTACAAATCTGAGGTTATTGGTATTTCTCCTTGCAATCTTGATTCCAGCTTGTGCTTCATCCAGCTCAGCATTTTACATGATGTATTCTGCCCAGAAGTTAAATAAGCAGGGTGACAATATACAGTCTTGTCCTACTCCTTTCCCAATTTGAAACCAGTCCATCGTTCCATGTCTGGTTCTAACTGTTGTTTCTTGACCTGCATACACATTTCTCAGGAGTCACGTAAGGTGGCCTGATGTCATCTCTTTAAGAATTTTCCACAGTTTGTTGTGATCCACACGGTCAAAGGCTTTGTTGTAGTCAATAAAGAAGAAGTAGATGTTTTTCTGGAACTCTCTTTCTTTTTCTATGATCCAATGGATGTTTGCAATTTGATCTCTGATTCCTCTGCCTTTTCTAAATCCAGCTTGAATAGGAAATGAAACAAGTTCTGAGGAAGAATAGCTGGTGAAAAGTTTGATGTGGGCAGGGCGATTGTCATGAGCGGTCATGCACGGCCCTCTCGCGGTCACATGAGGAATGACAGGAGTGCTCAGGGCTCCCTGGCTCTGTGGCAAAAGAAGCTGCATCTGTAACTCAGACATTTTCACTGGATTGCAGGCGGATAAAACCAAATTGGTAAGAGTCAGTGTTTAGGAGCTACCTTCCAATGGAAGTAATCTCTGTCTTGTGATTCCACACTGTGGAAAAGTAGGCATATCTGGGAATATTCATGGAGCCCCTGAGTCGGGCATTGAGCTCCAGGACAGGAAGTCAGTGCCTCCCAGGACTTGCAGGGGGCGGCATGGGAAAGTGTTGGTGATACCTGATTTGCATCACAGCTCTGTGTATCTGGTTGAAAGAACAGAATATTAAACCAAAGCATATTTATGGAATCCTTCTGATTATATTAACACTAAACCATTTTTTTAAAACTTGAAAATTATCACTAAACATATCTGTACTTTCATCTAAACTTGGTGGTGGTGGGACTTTAGTCCCTAAGTGTTGTCCAACTCTTGTGAACCCAAGGAGTATAGTCCACCAGGCTTGTCTGCCCATGGGATTTCCCAGGTAAGAATACTGGAGTGGGTTGCTATTTCCTTCTCCAGGGATGGGATCATCCTATATTCCTAGTTACCTTTTCACTTAATATTAGTACTTACCTATGTCATTAAGCTTTTGAAAATATGATTTTAATATCTGAATAGTATCCCTTAACATCATATACATAAATTACTTAAGTTTCAGTTTATCATAGAAATATAGTGCCAAGAAAATTTTTAAATTTTATCTGGGAAATTGTCTTTTAAATTTATTTTAATGAGAAGTCCTCTGAAGAGCTAAAATTATTATGAAAAGTAAGTTATTTGGAATCCCTGTTCCCTTCATCTGTTATGCCTTATTATTAATATCATTTACTTCTAAGGGCTCTTTCACTTTCTTGATATCTTTGCATTTAAATGTATTTTTTCACTGAGATGACATTTTATTTTTGGCTGTGCTTGTTCTTCATTGCTATGCAAAGACTTTTTCTAGTTGTGGCGAGTGAGGGCTACTCTAGCTGTGCTTTACAGACTTCTCTTGTTGCAGAGCATGGGCTCTAGGGTGATCAGGCTTCAGTAGTTGGGTCAGGGGCTTAGTTGCACTGCAGCATGTGGGATCTTTCCAGACCAGGGATTCAATCTATGTTCCCTGCATTATTAGACAGATTCTTAACCCCTGGATCACCAGGGAAGTCTGAGATAACATTTTAAATTCAGAATTTAAGAATGTCAAGAAGGAACCTGATGTACATAGATGCAAAAATCCTCAACAGAATATTAGCAAACAAAATTCAAGAATACATTAAAAGAATCAAATGCCATGTCCAGTGGAATTTATTCTAGGGATGCAAGACTGATACATACAAATCAATGTGATACAAACACACAAACAAAACAAAGGATAAAAATCATATGATCATCTCAATAGATGCAGAAAAAGCTTTAAACAAAATACAGCATCTATTTATATCAACCCTCAACAAAGTGTTTATACATGGAATATATTACAGGCCATAAAAGACAAGCCCACAGATAACATCATACTCAGTGGGGAAAAGATGAAAATTTTTCCTGAAAGATTAGGAAAAATACAAGGATGCCCACTCATATTTTTATTCAACAAAGCATTGGAAGTCCTACCCAGGAATGAAGCAAGAAAAGAAAAGAAAAGCCATCCAAATTAAATTGGAACAAAAGAAGTAAAACTGTCACTATTTGCATATGATACAATATTTTATGAAACGATAAAAACTCCACAAAATGATAGCTATTAGAACTAACAAATCCAGCAAGGTTGCAGGACAAAAATCTATTGCATTTCTCCACACTAATAATAAACTATCAGAAAGAGAAATGAAGAAGACAGTCCCATTTACAACTACACCAAAAAGAATAAAATACCTTGAAATAAATTCAACTGAGGAGCTGAAAGACCTGTATAGAGTCATGAAGTCTGAGACGTGGAGACTGGGGCCACACAGCCTGGGTTCAAATCCTAACACACTCACTGACCTGCTGGGTGACCCTGGGCAAATCACACAACGGCTCTGAGCCTTTTCTTTCTCAACTGTAAAATGGGCGCAAAACCAGTATCTCCTCACAGGATCACGAGGCTCTAAGGAAATGTCTATTTAGACCAAAGGTCGGAGGGCCTCCAACAGTCTCTCTTGTGTGAAACTGTCCAGAACTAGGCCCTACTGACCCTGTGGGTGGGCGTCAAGGGTGAAGCCTGGGAGGCAGATGGGGCTGAATGAGGACCAGGGCAGAAAAGCTAAGGGATTGCACCAAGTATACTCTACTGGTGTGGATCAGGGAGGGGAGGCCTCAGGGTGGGGCCTACACCAAGGGCCCAGGGGTGCAGGATCAGAAACCACAGCAGGGGTGCAGCCTTCCTGGCCAGAATGTGTCTCTCTGGCCAGGCTCAAGCATGATGGAGTACTGCTCCCAGAGTTCTTTATCTCCCTACCAGGAAAGGAGCTAGCAGGAGTAAGAGGGAGTTGGGGGGGCGGGGGCATCTATTAAACCACAGGTGCTTTACAGTCAGTGTGACAAAAGGAAGGGTGAGAGAGGGGATGAGAAGCACAAGCAGTGAGCACCTCTCTGGCTTTTAGGAGAAAGGTGTCAGAAATGTCTCCACACCAGCTACGCGGAGCCCACAGGAGGCAAATGAATGCAAAAGCAAGCTGAGAGGGCTAATCTCTCTACTGCTGGCTCCAGAGCCCCAGGTCCCCATCTACCAGTCCTACTGTGCACAACCAGGCACCAAGACATACAAGCCCTGTCTGAGGAAGCCAGAACCCCTGTTGGGGTCCCTCAGCATGGTCACATGGTCATTAAAGACTCAGCCCCTTCTCCATGCTCACGTCCCCTGTCCCCAGAAACACCCACGGGTCCCCACGCGGGGCTTTCTGGGGCACTTGTGCATACTAGAAACTGCAATGACAGAAAGAGGAGAGAAGGCACAGACTGTAGAGACAGTCTGCATGACCGTGGGTGCTCTACAAATTACCGAAGACCTGAGGTCCTTGATGCTTAGGAGTTTGAAAAAAGGCTTCTCAATATGTAAATGGAGAAAGGAGGCCCATTGAGTAAATGGTGCTGGGGCAATTTGACATGCAACTGGAAGACAAAGCTGGATCCCTAACTCAGAAACACCACCAAATCAATTACAGACACATTAAGAACCTACATTTGAAAGGGAAAACTTTACAGGTTTAAGGACAATTTTCAAGAAGGGAATATCTTTTTTATATATAGAAGTATAGTTGATTTACAAGGCTGTGTTAGTTTCAGGGGTACAGCAAGCAATTCAGTTATTCAGTGACTCCGTCTGAACAGGTTGCTCAGACAAAACTCACTCCCTTTGGCAGGCCCCTATGTAATGCCCACTACTCAGAGCAACCAACAGTTCTGAAACCTGTAGCAACACATGGTGATGCTCAGTGGATGTTTGTTGACTGAATGAATGACTGCAATCACACACTAAAAGCAAGCCTTGAGGCTGGGAGAGGATCCCCAATCCTGTCTCCTCTCCAGGAGGTCTTGATCCTGTTTGGTGTGGGTGAGTGAAATGGGGCTTGGGAAGGGAAGAGATCCATCACAAATCATTTTGTAAATAGGGGAAACTGGGTGTGTGAAGAGGATGTAAGCAGGTACATCCCAGAAACACATCACAGCAGATCCTTCAGCTGCACCTTCACCCCTGCTCTTCACACTGTCTCCCTCTCTGAAATATGCTGAATAGCTCACAGGCTTCCCGGAGGGGTGGTCACATGACCTCCCCCTGACCAATCAGCGTGTTCCATCCTCCTGGACGCCTGTGATTGGCTCAGGGCTGGACAAGTGACTAATGAGGGCATAAGCTGGAATCCTGGGGAATGGAGGTTTATTTCCGTTAGGAACAGGGACTACCTGAGGCCAGCCTGTGGCAGTGAGAGGGATGTGACGTCAGCTTGTGGCAGTTGGAGGCCTCGTTCCACAAAGGCAGAGCTACTTGGGTGAGGATGACAGCAGTAAGCAGAGCTGAGAGGTGGGGAAAGACAACTCCTGCTGACGTCTCTGAGACCCAGGTACAGTCCAGCCAGAAGCTGTGCCCGTGGACTTAGTTATGATCATTCTCTCCTGCTTGTTTGTTAGCTTGTTTGAGCCCCTTTGGGTTTGATGTCCAGCTGGCTAAGTGGAGACCCTGGAAATGCCCCGGTGTGGGTTTCATCTGGCCTCAGGGAAGAAGTTCCACGTAACATTACAAGACTCCAGTTTAATTTGGAGATTTGAATGGATATAAGCGGTATCTGTCGGGGCCAACTATTAATTCTAGGATTCCCCAAATTAGTCCTCACAGGGTTAATCCTGTTAAGGTAGTAACCCATGTCCCTTTTTAGAGGACAAGATGGAGGCTCGGAGAAGGGAGGTAAGTGGGCTACAGCCAGGAAGTGTGCAGTCAGAAAGAAGCCCCAGATCCTGCTCCTTGAAATCTGGGAGGCCACATGGTGTGGCTTGTCCATGTGAAGGGGCTAAGACACCCAGCCCCACGCTGGCTTCCCAGGGGTCTGAGAATTGGTGACTGCCAAGTGGCTGTTTTGACAGTCACAAAAGCAATTCACATTGAAGGAAGGAGGGCACCTTCCTTCACCAGACCACACCCAACCCTCTGTTTTCCCCAAGTCCTGCCCACCTTTCTCCTGCTTTGCTTGTCAAGCTCATGTGACCACATGGACAGTTCCTGGGTCACTGGCTCCCATCTGGAGCTGCTACAGGGGAGGCTCCCCCCTCATACTTGTGGACATCTTCTTCCTTTGGGCTTTGGGGGGCCCTGCTTCCTTCTTGCACATCAGAGGCCTTTTTCAGAATATACAGGGAACTTCACTCAGTTTGAACAGGATGTATCCATCACTGCCCTTTCCACATCTCCCTTGAAACTCAGCTCCAGTACTCCTTTTTCCACATTGCAGCCTCCCGTGGTGCCACAGGAGAGACCCAGCGGACAATGAATTGACAGCTCAGCACAGGAAGGCAGGTGAGAGGTGAGATCTCACAGCTGGGAAGCTCTGTTTACAATGGCCCTTGCTCTTCATGCTGCAGAGGTTGTAGCAGACCCCACGGTCTGGAAGAAGCACTTGGGCCAGAGAGCATCCACGGGCCTTTTGATGGCTGGACGATTCTGGCCATGGTGGGGTGGGGCGAGGTCCCTAAGGTTCTGAAGGCCCACTGTATGCAGGCTCAGGGTGCACAGAGAAGAGAAGGCAGAGGCCTTCCCAGAGGTGTTCACAGACCACATATACATAAGCCAGCCCGGCTGACAGGCCATAGCACCTAAGCTGCTTTCATGGGTGAAGGGTGTGGGGGCACAGGCAGAGACCCAAGTCTGCTGGGAAACTGCTTCAGGACAAAGAATTTTCGACAGATTTGAAGGCTGTATCATTTAGTTATGTGTTTGGCTGAAATGATAGAAATCCATATTAAGAGTGCCTTCAACTACCTAGGCAACTAATATTTAATGTTTCAAGAAACTGTGAGAGGTGGGAGAGTCAGAGCGGGTCTGGTGGCCCAACAGTTTCATCAGAATCCACCCACCTCTCTATTCCACCATCACCAGAATGTGGGTGTCATTGCCTCATGGCTGCAAGGTGGCTGCCTCCACTCCAGCCATCACTTCTGCAAATTTAACCCTCCATCAAAAGCAAGGGTCACCTTTTCCCCTGCATATCTCTTTTCTGAAAGGAAAATCTCTCATAGAAGCCCCTGTAGACTTCCTCTAGACTTCCATTGGCTAGAACTGGGTCATGAATCCTTGTCCTGACCAATCGCTAGGTGGAAGCAGTTGTCATGACAGATTTGAACCAACCTTTATTCATCCAAATTGAGCATCCACTGGAAGAAAGTGAATTGGACTGGGCAAATCCTCTGGGTGAGCAGCCAAAACCATCCTGCCACAAAGGGGAAATAACACAGGAGCTGAGGGATCAAAGGCATGGAAGCAGAGAGCAGGAGAGCAGCACATGCAGAGGTCCCGGGATGAGCAGGGATCACTGGTGGCTAATTGCTGCAGGAACACAGTCTGGGTGGGGAAGATGGCAGGACTTCATATGGTGTTTTCTGCCTGGAGATGGGCAGGCCTTGGGCCACAGGGAGCTGCTGAGAGGAGCTGATCAAGAGAGTGAGGGCAGAAGCAGACGGAAATCGCAGTGCACAAGGCCCCCTGTGCTGAGGAGCACTGTTCTGTGATGGTCAGAAATGCCACTGATAGACTCCAGAGAGCTCTGTTCAAGCAGATGATTGTAACTGGTGAGAGAGTAAACGTGGCCCTAATGAATGCATTTGCTGGTGGCAGCTTTCTGTCTCTGGATACTAGAAAGCACACACGCAGCGGTTCTTACACAGCTCTGCTGTGACGCCACACCCACACGGCTCCTCTCCCAGCTTCTGGGCCTGAGGGTCAGCACGCCCCGGGGGTGTCTGAAACAGCCCAGCACTTTGTGTTGTAACTTACACGGGGGGCCCAGGTTGGGTTCCAGTTACAGAGGAGAGAACAGGGGCTGGATGCGGGTGAGGGACTTACTGGTTAGTTGCGGGGGTTGGATCCCAATCCATCATCCCCTTTATGGTCAGAGTGGGCAGCCTCCTGACACCAGCCAGGATGTTTGCTAAACAGACAGGCTCTGATGCGTGCTTGCCCAGCACTGGACCTGGGGATTGGGGAATGGAGGGGAAGGATGGCTCTTCTCCACGTGATGCTCACCTTGCAGGGGGCACACAGGTGACCCCGCAGAAGTGTCCTTCCTTATGACCTGGGCCTCCTGGGCCTGAGAGGAGTGCCTTGACCCATGGGACCACAGGCCCCGGGTGCACACGTGGGCAGGTGTGGCTATAGCTGAGAGGACAGTACCCCTAGTAAAGGCCCCCCAATTCCCAGAGAGTCACATCTAGGAACTGAGGTCAAGCAGCCAATTCCGATCTTAATGCACAAATTGTTAGCATCCAGGGGCCTGATTATTTTTTATTAAACTGTGTGCTCAGTCGCTCAGTTGTGTTCGGCCCCATGGACTATCTATCGCTTGCCAGGTTCCTCTGTCTGTGGAATTTTCCAGGCAAGAATACTGGAGTGGGTTGCCATTTCCTACTCCTACATCTTCCAGACCCAGGGATGGAGCCCAAATCTCTTATGTCTCCTGCATTCGCAGGCGGGTTCTTTACCACTAGCACCATCCACTTGCAATCCCATAGTCAAGCCCTTTTCTCAGCATCCTTGTAACCTTCAACCCCTCAGCTTTTATTTCTCTCTGGGACCAAGTTCTTAGCGTCAAACTAGCCCCATTATGTACATAAGTACTGTCTTTTTCATGTCCCTTCCGTATCAGAGGCCACTCCCCCTCCCTCCCCTTATCAAGGCCTCCACACAAGCCAGCAGGGCTGTTTTCATGCAGTTCTGCAGACTTGTGAGCTAAGGATTTAGAATAAGGAGGAGAGGAGGGGCTGCCCCTCAGGGCAGGGCGGGCCAGCAGGTGGAGATGAGGCGCCCGTAGCACCTCAGCCAGCTGAAGTGTCAGCGGCAGGAGGGCAGCAGCCAAGGGCCGAGAGCGGGTGAGAATAAGTGAGTTAAGTGTGTTGATTCTGCCTCTGGATGGCGGACCCTGGAGCAGGGCTTCAAGGGTGGAAGATAGACGGTCTCCAATGCCTGGACCCCCACCTTCTAGAGATCAGGGTTGAGATGTGACTTTGAAATCAGAACACTGGTTTCAAAGCTGGTTCCCACCACTTGGTAAGGTATTTAAAGCCAAACAAGCCTCCATTTTTCTCATCTGTAAAATGGGAATACTGCCCCTCTTGGGGTGGGTAGGGGGTAAATGAGGCGACAGGCAGAGCACAGGGGCTGGATGGGCTGGGAGTGCTCCCAGACTCGCTGCTGTGGCTGCAACGACCACTGTCTTCCAGGGCAGGGTCAGCAAGCTGTTCCCTAAAGGGCCCTGTTAGGCTTTGAGGGACCTGGGGTCTGCTTCAGCAATAGATCGTCCAGGCTCTCACCCCTGATCACTGAGACACAGGTTATCAGATATAATTGGCTCAGAACAGTGTTAGTTTTAGGCGCCCAGTGTCATGATTTGATATGTGTACATGCTGTGAAATGATCACAAGAAGTTCAGTTACCATCCACCACCACTCACAGCTACACATTATTTTCTTGTGATGAGATCTCTTAAGACCTGCTCTCTTAGCAACTTTCACATACACAATGCAGTGTTGTTAACCAGTCACCTTGCTGTACACACAGCCCAGGGATTGTGTGTCTTACAGCTGGAAGTGTGTGCCTGTTGACCATCTTCACCCACTTCACCCGCCCCCTCAACACCAGCCTCTGGTTCCCCACACCCTGTTGTTTCTGAGTTTGATTTCTTTTTTCAATTCCATATACAAGTGAGACTGTACCTGTCTTCTTCTGTCTGACTTATTTCAAGATCATAACACCCCTTGTCCATCCACATTGTGGCAAATGCTTTTTTATAGCTGAGTAAGAGCCATTATATATGTGTATATATGATATATATCTGAGTAAGATCCATTGTGTATGTGTATATATGATATATATCTGAGTAAGATCCACTGTGTATGTGTATATATGATATATATCTCAGTAAGATCTATCATATATGTGTATATATGATACGTATCACATTTCTTCACCCATTTGTCTGTCGATGGAAGTGTAGTTTGTGTCCATGTTATGGAACACTACTTTTGTTCCCAGTGCACAATGAACCCAAACAAACTGAGACCTAAAGTCTGAAGCAGAGGAAGGGTCTACAGCTGCCAGAGAGAACTCGTAACAGGGCCCAGGAGGGTCACTGAGACCCTGCTGGGTGACCGCGGGGGCCTCTGCCCTCTCTGTACAGAGGACCACGGTGTCCTCATCTGTAGAGAGAACTATAACAGGGCCAGGGGGACCGACGGAGAGGGGCCTCATCAGCAGCCCTGTCAGGACAGAGGAAGGGGAGGGAGGCCGCTACAGTGACAGGGTCCCTCCCTCTGCTCCCCACACCTTCTGAGCACCAAGCGTACATGTCCTCTGTCCCCCCAGATCACTTGGTGATGATGCATCAAAGGTCCCCCAGTCACAGGCCCCTCCCCTGTCAGATAGATGTACCTTCCCTTCTCCTTGAAGCCCTGGGCACCACTGCCTTCTCATCTGGCTGATTTGGTCCCTTGTGGTCAGGTGCCCGGGCTCCCCCGATCCACCAAGCTCCCATCTTAGGACTGTGTATGCAGCAGGTGCTCAATGCAGGTTTAGGGCTTTGGGGAATGCTCATCGCTCTCCTGCATAAGGACGCATCTAATGGAGGCAACTCCAGCCTTCTACACACAGGGCCAGCCTACTGTGGGGCATAAATGGCTCCCATTGACGCGGATCTGCTGAAAGAAAGGGCAGCCCGGGGAGACTCTGACACGCCGTACCCTGCCTGGGGGCTGGTCTCTGGGGGTGAAGCTGTCCCTTGGGCATCCACAAGGAGGGCCCGGGGGACGAGGGCCATGCTGGGCAGTGACAGAGCATTCACTCTGGACCCTGCCTCGGGGCAACTGCCCAGCCCACATTTGGTCTTAAAACAAGGGCCCTGAACAAGGGCCCAGGGGCAAATCTGGATTTTTAAAATGAATTCCAACATTTAAAAACGAGGAGATTTCAGACAAAACTCCAGATTTCTAGCTTTGTGAGTTTTGACAAGAAATGAGAAGTCCTGGCCTCCTGGGAGACATTCCCAGGGGGTGAATGGGTGAGGCTGTTCTGAGGCTGAGTGGGGGCCCCTCTGGAAGGGGCTTGTGTTCCCGGCTCGCCACAGTTCCCACCTCCCCCTACGCGTCTCTTGGGCCCAGGCTCTCCCCGGCCTGTTCCTGCCTGCCCCTGGAGATGTGTGGGTTTGCAGTCCTCCTCCTAGGCCATGGAGCTTTGCTGACATGAGGGCCACAGCTGTGTGGAGCTCGTCCTGACCCCCTGGCAGTTGGGATAAATGGGCTGAGTGCAGCCCTCACAGGAGGGGTTTGTCGTCACATGTCCTCTGAAGGCAGTCAGGAAGCGGAGGGGTGGGAGGGGCCAGGGCCAGGAGCTCTGTAGAGTGTCCCCTGGGCTGTGTGTCTTCAGGCTCCAAAGCTGCCCCTAAACCCTGCCCTTCTCCCACCACGCGTGCATCGCTGCTCCCGGTCTTCCCACAAACACTGGCCATGAGGGGCCCGGTCCCCGGGTCAGCCCTGAGGGCCACAGTCTCTGGCCCAATTCCACCTCCGGCAGCTCCAATGGCTCAGCGTTGCTGTGAGGTGGCCACTGCCAGACCCTTTACAGGAGAAACGGAGCCTCCAAGGTGACAAGGGATGTACCCAGGGTCACAGAGACTTTGAGCTTACGACCGAAGTCTGCTGGGCCTCAGCTGGTCCCAGAGCACAGACTGTGTCCCCAGGAGACGTGCGGTCCTCAGGCCTTTGCAACAGGAGGGCTGAGCGCAGAGCGGAGGAGTGAGTCACGGTGGGGCGGGCGCACGGGGCAGGCAGGCTCCGGGACAAGTCCCCAGAAGAGCAGAGTCTTGAAAGGGCTGGGGCATTGGTGCCGGTGAGGAGAGGAGAGGGTTCCTGGCGGAGGCTCAGCCATGTGAGGGCCTGGAGGTGGGCCACAGCATGAGAAGCAGGCTCCTCGTGGAGGCAGGAGCAGCAGGAGAACCCCGGGAGCCCCTGGTCTCCACTCCTCCTGCCGTGACCCAGCCCTGGCAGCTGTGCCTCCTCTCTCTCCATCTCACCTCTTCCAGCGAGACAGAAGAGACCCTTCCGGTGAGACCCTGAGCCATCTCCTCCTCCACATCCTGCATTTGCTTCCCATCCAGTCTGAGCGAAGACAGGACAGGTAGATTCTACTCCTGGAGTGGTGACTAGATTTCTCACTACTCAGGGGCACCATCATGACATGGCTCCCAAGTTAAAAAAAATTAAAATGGGGGAAAAAAAAACCCCAGACTGTTAGTGGTCTGAATGAGCATGAGGTGAGAGTGGGTCCCTTTGCTTCCTATTGATGATGGAGCCCTGGTCCTAGAGGGATGGAGAAGGGGCACTTGATGGACATGTGGCCTGTGTTTGGCCCTTTCATCTATTTGGTGTTTTATCCTCATCACATTTTTCTGAGCCCCTTTCTGCATCGTGCCCAGACCCTCACAGAGCTCACAGGCTGGAGAGGTAATCATAATGTGATCACAGTCCTGGGGGCCCCAGGTGAGGCCAGAAGAGCTGTAGAAAGGGTGGGGATCAAGAAGGGCTTCATGGAGGAGGTGATATCTGAGCTGGGTCTCCAAGGATGAGGCGTCATTCCCCTGGAGCCTGGCACAGAACAGGAACTAGATACATGATAAAAGAATAAGTGAATGAATGAATGAACATGCACCCTCCTAACAGACTGAGGTAGGCAATAGCCCAGGCCAAGGCATGAAGCACAAGACGCCCTGGGGGAGAGATGGAAGGGGCTGCCGTATGAGGCCGCCTCACCCTTTACGGGCATCTTGCTGCCACTGTGGTCCGTGCTCTGGCCGACTGGGGAGACCTTGTCTGTCCTCTGTTCTGGGATCCGATTCTTCCTTCCAAGCAGAATATCCTGTCACCTCCTTGTGCCCGTATGTACCTGTTCCTGCCTCATGGGGAGTTGTGAAGAGGAGGGATGGATTGGTGTGCAAAGCAAGGCTGAAGGAGGGTGAGGATGATGGGGAACCCCTAGAGGTGGGACCATGACTGGGAGGCATGTTACGGCGGGGAAAGGGCTGTGCCTTGGGCCTCAAGCATCCAGCTGGGAGTGGCTCCCCCACAAGAGGTGCTTCATGGTGAGAAGGCTGTCGTGGGGCCGGGGCTGGACTCTGTCTGGGACATGCTGACCCAGAGAAGTGCAGGCGCCACTGGGACAGAAATGTCCAAGAGGAGCTGGAAGTAGGGGACAGAGGTGCAACTGAAGTCAGGGTGGGAGCCTGAGACTCAGAGGAGGGGCCCAGGGATGCAACAGAAGGGGCCTGAGATTAAGATGTCCCTTAACTGCAGTCCTCAGGGTGGAGATCGTCCTCATTTCACAGTCTGCTGGGGCCAAACACAGCTGGGCCCAGGGAGGCCACTCAGTTAACAGCTGCTGACATGACCCAGATTCATGCATTTCCACTTCAAGTGACTGAACTAGAATCTGCTAAGCCCTACAGGTTTGTGGTCCAGAATTAGGATTATAAATAAAGGCAACATACAGACTGGAGAAGAAAGCTAAGAAGCCACAGAGAGTAAGACTCTCGACATGCAGCTCACTGTGGCCCCCGGAGCCTTTCCACTGCCATTCTCTCAGCCTGGCACTCTCTGCCCCTACGTCACTTGTTCTCTAAACACCTCCAAGAGTTTGTCTTCAAATGTCCTTCCTGTCTCCCTTTTTCTCCTTGGAACATCTTACCACCTGACTTTGCCTGTACATTACTTGTTTTCCTCTGTCTCCCTCCAGGCTGTGTGCTGTTGAGAATGGAGACTCGCCGCTTCACTCCGTCCGTGTGCTGGGTCTGGAGTCCACCCCCTACATAGTAGGGCCTCAGTGAGCCTGCACTGCATGTGTGGACGCCGAGGCCATGGACAAGAACGTTCCAGGCGGTGATGGCGAGTTGCCGACTCATTGCTTGCTGAGTCTCTTGTGTGCCCGGCACGGACCCGGGGGGCAGGCCCAGCGCTGACTTGGGGGACAGGCTTGGTGCTGAATGAGGCACACAGGGAGCACAGAGCCGCTCAGGAGGACATGTGCTATGGGGACACGCAGGCCAGGTGAGTCAGGAGTGCAGGGTGCGGAGGAGAGGACCGGGGTGGGGGGGAGTGGTGGGAGAGAGGGCAAGTCCTGCAGGCCCTGTGGTCCCTGTGAGGACCTTTCCACTGGGCAGGGGGAGGCACGGCTGGTGTGGAGCAGGGAGTTGGGTGCTGAATACTGTGCAGGAATGAAGCAGGTGAGCCCTGGGGAGGGTCTCACTGTGGAGGGTGCACCTCCTCTGAGGAGGTGACACTAGAACTGTACCCTCTACAGGCCGTTTCTACCTTCTGTTAACTTGATGCTTTGCTTTTGCAAGCAAAAACACTCTGTGTTCTGCAGCTCCTCAGCTCAGCCTCCTGCTCCCCCTGTCACCCCTGCCCCCACCGGAGTCCTTCCAGGGCCCACTATTTTTTTGTTTGGTTTCTTTTTTTTTTTTTTGCTGCATCATAGGGCATGTGGGATCTTAGTTCCTGGACCAGGGATCGAACCCTGGCCCCTGACAGAGAAAATGCCTAGTGCTAACCCCTGGATGCCAGGGAATTCCCCCAGGGCCCGCTTTTCACATACAAACCAACCTCCTCTTTAACTAGGCTCACACTCTGAACCACTGCCCACCTGCCCTGCCTCCCAGGGTCAGACTGTAGGACACTTGGGATCCCCTAACCCCAGAGCCAATGAAGTTGCTCAGCCCAGCCAGTCTTCAGCCTGCTCACCCTGCCTGCCATTCCCTCTTCAGCAACGCGACGAAGGCTTCCTCTGCCCACAGCTCCAGCTCCTCCGCCTACTGACGTCCCCATGCCCCCTGTGTGGTGAAACCCCTCTTCCAGGACTGTGAGGAGAAACTTTCATTTCAATGGTGGTTGTTTCCTGATCAGATAGCCTTACTGACCCTCAAAGTTTCTACTAAATATTCTATTTTACACCAGCCTATGAGACACTTTGAAGACATAGTAAACAAATGAAGAACAAGTGAACTATACACCTTTTTACAAAATCAAGTACAAAATATTAAGATGTATTAGAATTCCTTTTCCCATAAAATCACAGGCTCCATCAGGGTGGAGGGCATATAAAAATCACGTGGACAGGACCAAACTCCTACGAGGTCCTAACTATCCATCTCCGTAAGTTGGGAGCTCGGGCCCAGGCATGACCGAGAACCAGTCTCTGCCTTTGAGTGGAAATAGGTTGGTTTTTCAAAGCTGTTAACTTGTCAACTAAGCAGGAAAGCTGTTGGTTCCAAACTCATGTTTCTGGCAATAATCAAATTACACCACATGTGAGATGGCCTGTTCCCCAAGTTATTTGGTTAGAATCCACAGATGGTAGCAGGGAAATGTCACTGTTTCAAAACAAGCTGCATCTCTGGGAGAGAGTGGGGGTAGTGACCCTGGAATGTATCACTCCTGAATCCTTTAGTCATTAGATTTCCAGAGAAGCCCCCAGAGGGGAGAGTGGGCTGGAGCTGAGCTGGGCTGTCCCCCACAGATGTGAGGGGGGACACATCAGACAGCTGTGGTCCTGGGAGCAGCCTGACCCTGGGAGTCACAGGAAAGGTCCGCTCCAAGCCTGCTGTCCAGCCTCGGGTAAGGCTCAGCAGCTGTAACTCAGGGCCCATGGCTGAGGGGCAAAGGGAAGCTGCCCCCCTCACGCTGGGTCAGGGGGCAGACAGTCCAGGGCTGGTCTGGAGCCTCCTGTCCCTAATGCCCTTCAACCCAGAGGAGTTGCTTTGTCCACAGGGCAGAATGAGCTCAACCTCACAGCTGACGTTTCCAGATCAGGACAGAGGGAGAAGCAGAAAGGGCCTGCTTCGCTCTCCTAGGACACATTCTAGAGTTTGTGCAAATCACTCCCATCCCCTCTGGAGGGAGAGCCTGGTCACACAAGCACCCTCGCTGCAGAGGAGGCGGGAACTCTGTAGTCCTGGGCGGCCAGTGTCCAGATACAGGAGGTGTCCAGTGCTCTGGGAGTGGACAAGGTACTGGGAGCCCTTGGATGCCTCAGCCCACCGCCTCTAATGCTCCCTCGCACCACCCGACCCATCTACCCTGAGCTCATATTGTATGAAATTGTCCATTAGACAGTGCATGAAGGAAATAATTCAGAAACCAGTTGAAAATCATGGGCAAGGGGATGCATTTTCCTGAGTTTTGCTGACAAGTTGCTGGCGGGGTTCCATCACTGACACTGAGGCTTTCTCCCCACTCCACCTCCACAGGGCCCTCTGGTCACCAGCAGCCTGAGATGTCTTGGCCAGTGGAAGGAGACTGTGTCCCACCCTACTCATGGATGCCCTGCTCTCTCTGGGACTGTGATGGACAAATAGAGTGACCAGAGGCAGCTGTAGCCCAGCCAGCCCCAGCCCACACCTCACAGAAGAGGAGAGTCTGTGAGCACAACGTTCTGTCATCAGAGCCAACTACTGTCCAGCCCTGAGGTGGGGATGTTTGGAGATGGAGAGCACAGAGCACTGGTGTGGATGGTCCCGGAAGCAAGGGGGCTGGCCCAGGCCCCTCTCCCCAGCCTGGCTCCTGACCTCTGTCCTGTGTGTGCCTGACACTCCAGCTTCCTCCTGCCAGATTGCCTGCTCCCCAGTCCCTGTGGTCACACCCACACATCAGGACAACTCCCCCCACCAAAGGGGAGATCCTGACATCTGCATGAGAGTCAGGAAACTCAGCTGCACAGGGACCTGATCACACTGCACACAGGCTTTCACGGGACTTTATCCTATTTATGGGCATCTCAGTCATGATTATCACAGGCCCCAGGGACCAAAAGTTCCCCTCAGCCCTTCTGAAGATGTTGGGTAATGTCAGTGCAGGGAGGTCATACACACTTTCTGCATCTCGGCCCTGCAGCGCAGCAATTGCTGCTGTTGGAAGTCACTGTCCTTATTCTCTTGGTTGTCTTTGCATTTAGTTCTGATTTACTTCTAGTACCACATGACTGCACGCTTCTTAGACTGGAAAATACAGCCTCAATTCTGTTCAGGGAGGATGCAAAACTGGAGCATCAGGTTTATCAACAGGAATGGGAAGAACCAAAGAGCTGACGAGAACTCTGGCGCCCCCTCACATGGAGGACAGAAGAGTGGGGCCCCCTCGCACATGGAGGACAGAAGAGTGGGGCAGGGGACACGCCCAGGAGAGGCAGTCGGGTCTCTGCAGTTGCAGGTGAGAGCCGAGGGGGGGCCTGCAGCCAGGCGGGCCCTCTTCTGGTCGCCAGGCCGCTGCAGACCGTCCTCTGAGCTGGCCAGGGCTTTGGATACGGTGCTTCTGAAGGCCGTGGAGGTGTGGGATACCCTCCTGAGTCAAATCTTGTCAGAGGATTCACCCCCCAACCACTGCCAGGGAGTGCATCCTGACCTTTCTTCTTGGGTCATCCATGGACTTTACCTGGGTTCCATTTGTTATGCCACCTCTTGCTGGGCAGACTATTAAATACCTTCTTATTCTCAGGCAAGCCCTGCTCTTTCTGGCTGTGGCCAGAGGAAAGTGTCTGGGGACACACGCTCAGGCTGCCCAGCGTGGGAGGAGCTCCTGGTGTTGGACACACCCAGGGGCAGCTGCTTCCCTCTGGANCTCCCGGATCCTGGCAGTGTCTGAGTTCAGAGAACTTCAGGTGATATTTATTGATGTCTTCTCTGGGCAGGGGCACTCCTTCCTTCTTTTCTCACTGCTCTCCTTGCCCCCCTCCACCCTCCGGAGTGCATCCTCTGCCCTGCAGTAAGAGTAAGTTCTCTAAGAAGCAAATAAAGACTATGTCTCTCCTTGGCTTAAAAAAAAAAATCCAGGTAATATATTCCTGTAGTCAAAAAATCCATGAGTGTGAAAAGATTTGTAATAAAAGTCTTTCTCCTGTGGCTGTCTGCCACCTGCCTAGTCCCCACATCCCAATTCCCACAAGTAACCACTGCCTTAGATTTTTTTGTGTGTTTCCTCTAGTTTCTTTATAGATATACAAGCAAAATGAGCATTCCTTCTCTCTCCCACCCATTTTTCAAGGTGTTTTACACACATTTTTTTGCAACTTTCTTCTCATTTAGTAGAGCTTTGTCATTTTTCCCATACTGGCAATTACAAATCTTCCTCATTCTTTGTTGACAGTCACAGAGTATCCTATTGTCTGAAGACTGATTGTAACTTATTTCATCTGTTACTGAGCTGAGGGACATGGAGGAGCTCCCAGTCCTTGGATATACCAGACAAGGCTTCAGTGAAAAACTTGCCCAGTGTAAGTTTCTCTGCAGGATAAATTCTCAGAAGTCGGATTGCTGGATCAAAAGGATCATGCCGGGACTCCCCTGGTAGTCCAGTGGCTAAGACTCCTCTATCCCAATGCAGGGGCCCTGGGTTTGATCCATGGTTAGGGAGCTAGATCCCATATGCTGCAGTTAAGCGTTCACGTTCCACAACTAAGACCCAGTGCAGTCAAATTAAAAAAAAAAAAAAGCTAGTCCTATTTTAACTTTGGTTTATAGCTCCACTTTTTGTTCTCTTTGACAAGATTAATAAAGTTTAAAAATTTGTCTGCTTTTGGACATGATCTAAAAAGATTTAATTTTGTAGCATCAGTACCTGAAAGGGGTGGAGTCAGAGCTGTATAGGAACAGTTTTTTTTTATGTTACTGAAATTAAACTGACTTAAACTGAACTAGAGTGTTGTAATTTTAGGATGTTATTTGTAATCACAAGGTAATCACAAAGAAAATGGTTACAGAATATCCACAAAAGGAAACGAGAAGGGAATTAAAATGTTTCACTACAAAAAAATTAACAATGCAAAAGAAGGTGATCTTGCAGGACATGAGGGACAAAAAAGTCAAAAGGCATACAGAAAAAGAGCCAGATGACAATTACTGATTACTCCTTCAGACTATTACCCCTTCAGTATCAGTAATTACATGTAAATGGATTAAACTCTTCACTTAAAAGATTGGCAGAAAGGATAAAAATATATGATACAACTATTCGCTATCTATAAGAGACTAACTTTAGATCCAAAGACAGAAAAAAAGTTGAACATGAAAGGATAGAAAAAGATGTGCTCTGTCACTTCAGTCACGACCCTTTGTGACCCTCTGGAGGGTAGACTGGCAGGCTTCTCTGTCCGTGTGATTCTCCAGGCAAGACTGCTGGAGTGGGTTGCCATGCCCTCCTCCAGGAGAGCTTGCTGACCCAGGGATCAAATCTACATCGCTTATGTTTCCTGCTTTTGCAGGTGGGTTCTTTCCCACTAGGGCTTCCCTGGTGGCTCAGGTGGTAAAGCGTCTGCCTGCAATGTGGGAGACCCGGGTTCCCTGGGTCAGGAAGATCCCCTGGAGAAAGGAAATGGCAACCCACTCCAGTACTTGCCTGGAAAATTCCATGGACAGAGGAGTGCCCCCTGGAAAGGGATAGTCCATGAAAACAGGAACCAA